TCTTGGAGCTGAATGTCATTCGGCGTTTTTGTTGAATGCTTCTGTTATGAGAAAAACATCTACCCATCAAATTTTGGAATTACTTGGAAAATTTCTATGACATCTCCTTCAGTTTCCTAAAACAGGAGAAGTCAAATAGTGCCTCACGAAAGGAACTCTGCGTGAGACTATTTTCACTATCGATCAATGAGTACTTTGTAATGTTATGTACATTTATGAAGCTATCATCATCGTCACATCCGAATGAACTGTTGGAATTGAATGCACTTAGTTGACGACAGCAAAAATGAGATTATGCATACGTATCTACTTTGCGGATAGTTTTTCCCAGGGAACAATATCATTTTTAAAGCAAATCGGCTTGACGTCGCTTCTGGATTCACGATTTAGACTTCGTCTGCATGTTATGTTTTTTCTTCTCGTTTTTACGTTCATTGTAACAAGGACGTTTGATTAAACCCGACATACATTGACGCGCACAGACACAGCGAGGCAATCCTCAACCCCTTCGCCCCTTTGCGCTTCTCAAATCGAACTCCTCTGCAACAAAACGCCACCACTTCTCACGCTTTCCATGTACACACCGTTCCGATACGGGACGATGTCTGCTTCTAGCATTCAATATTGTTTACTTTTCAGGATACGCGATGGCCAGCGATGTGATAAATCCGCTGTCCAAAAGTGAGTTTTCTGTTGTGCGACTGTGTGTTTGTGCATCGTTTCGTTTGCATTCTAATCAATATTGAACTGCATACAACCAAAATTGCTACAGCGTAAATCCACGAAATGACCTTTTACATTCATGCATTTTCCTCAAGTGTGCTTTTCGTAACCTTTGACGGCACATCGATTGATCATTTGCTGAACGCTGCAGTCTGTTTCGCGCTTTCTTTCGATGCAACAGTTGCCTAGGACCGGATGTGAAAAAACGTAGCTATGCGTTAGGCATCACGCGCTCTGAAACGTTTCCTAGACTGTTCCGATTGATGTGAAGAAAAGTGCCAATCAGAAGGCTGCAAGCTACGAATTCTAAACCATTTAAGCCTTGAGTCAAACTCCCCAACGTCTTTAAAGTCAAGTTTGCGAGGACTGACACATACGTGCCTCAATCTTGCTAGAAGGTCAGATAGCAGCTAAAATTAAGAAAAAC